TCTTCGGTCATTTATTGTCGTTATTCCCTCCCTCCCCTCCACCCTTCCAAACTTTCGCCATCCAGCGCCCAGTGGTGGAGGCCGAACCGAACCTGCGACAAAAGGATAAAAGGCCTGACTGATCTGCTCGGAACCACTTCGGGTGTCATGCTTGCGCTTGTCTGTGTCACAGCTGAAATATATTAATGCTGGGCCTTGTCTCTCGTCCACATTCCCATCCTTCGACCCTCCACTAATCACGTCTTTTTTTGCGCAACAAGCACATTCTCCGCCCATACCAACTGCACCCTCTTTCTAACCCTTTGTCCCTCCCCCCCCCCCTTGCCGCTGCGATTCGTCCGAGCTCCTAACGTCTCTGTCTGATTAAACGAACAACCCCCCGTGTGGGCCATCCCTCCCTTTGCCTTCAAAGGGCACATGAGGGCGATCTGCAAGATTCGAACTTCCTGGAGCATGCACGGAGCATAGTAACGTCGCAATACTTTCTGGCGATTTCGATCTACGGCTACCTGCTGGACCGTGGGTGGACAAAGCAAACCGCTTTTTATCAAGCTCTTGTCACCTTGCGTTGTTGACGGCCTCCCTCCCTCCTTCCTCCGCCTAGCATTTCTCGCCTGCCACGCTACTTCTCCCTTTCGTGCCCCCCTTCGATCCCTGTATAATTTGTACAGCGCCTGACCGCGTCTATTCTGGACCCGATCCAAATCCTATTCTTCGGCAACGTCTTCGCTGCCGCCCTATCTCTCCTCTATCCCTTTCCTTTGGTGTCCTGATTCTTCGCTCCTTTGTAAGTTTACACCTCATCTAACAGTTCGCAACTGGCTTCAGGTGCTTTGATCTCCAGTCTGATCGGATGGCTGACTCGTGCAGTTCGGTATTCACCAGTCACCTCGTGCCTCGATCCCTGCCATTACGGGTCGTATAATTATCCATATCACTTCAGCCTCATTGTCATCTAGTGTATTAGGAACGATAGTGCAGGGATAACGACGTCATACAACACCCTTGCAGTCGGCTACGAACGACTATTCATACGGTGAACATTTACGGTGTGGTTCATATCGACGGGGAGGATTCAGAATGGCTTCCAACCAGAATTCAGTTCATAATGTACGTGGTGTCCGGACAAGTGGCCAGTGGACTGGCTCATTGACTCCTACACAGGTTCGTTCAAGTCGGTCGGGGAATATGACTTCATCGGGGTTTAATGGTGAGAGGACGCGAGGAGCTCCGTCAAGTATGGGGACAGGCTTCGGTGGTGGAAACGGAAACTGGAATGGCAGTATATGGGCAAGCGGTTTGGATGGTATGCAGCTCCTTGGACAGTTGTCTACTTGGGAAATTGCCGCTGACATGGACATTACAGACCAGCACACCGTGGAGAATGCTTTCGAGGGCAAGGCTGGGTCAAGCTCTTTGCTCTCGTCTTCCGAATCCGATGGATGGAATAGCCGTCCTAACCTCCCATGGACTACGATCAACACATCGGCGGCCACCTTGTCGCGAGCTCCGAATAGCGGCATGACTACATCTCCCGTACAAACACGCGCCAATGAGCGCAGCGCGGGTGGTATTCCTGATAGTACCGACTCTTCTTCATATTTTGCCCTGCCCAAGTCGGGGATTGGATCAAGTGGTGGTGCTGGACATAAAGCTTACCTGAGCACCGGGTCGGATGGCATCTCACCGTCTGGTGAGGGCATGAGCCTTGGCAATTTCGGAATGAGAAACGGTGATAGCAGGCGGCAGGTTAACCCTTCTGCCTTTGGCGGCAGCCCTGTGGGATCTGGGTTCCCTATCAAGACAGGGTTCACGAGTCCACTAGACAATCAAAGATCCGATGATGTGACCACGTCGATGGGCATGTCAACCCTGCAGTCTGCTCTACCCGATTACATGACGCAGCACATGGGCCGCAACTCATATTCCCATACTGCGCATAACTCGGCTTCCTTCGCACCACAACGACCATCTCACTCCACCTACCCGTCGTTCCACTCCGAGAGCCAGGGCTACGAGGGGCGGTCTGGTAGTGGCTCCGTCGATCTTGGCTCTGGTTTTAACAAGCTGCAACTGAACGAGGGCAATTTCGCGGGACATCCGGCCCTTAATCGTCCAGCGTACTTACCACACAAATCGTATGATGCCAGTCTGACGCGCTTGAAATATCAGAACGGTGGTGACGAGGGCGAGTACCAACTTCCGCCCGGTTATGGTAACGAAGGTGTTCCGACAGAGCTACCATTGGGATACCAGCCGAGTAGATCTCGTGTCCAGGACACAAACCCGATATCTCCTACTGAGTATCGCATTGACAGCCCCTTCTATGCCCAGGATAATGGCGCACACTTTCGGACCGGTTCCGCAGGTCAAGTGACTGGCAATGCAGCTGTCCTGCTGGAGCAGAAGCTACGAGCCGACCAGGAGCTGTCACAGCAGGCAGTCAATCCACTGCACAGGGTCCAAATTCCTCCTGCTTATGATCTTGCGGGTTACCAAGCACAGAGACTCAACGCCCTCTCGTTTTACCATCCTGTCGCCCAGATTGGCGCAGCAGCCCTTGTCTCTCGGGGTCATCGTGACCATGATCCGTCACAAGTGGTCAGGAGTCCAGTGCTAGAGGAGTTCAGGGCTCAAAACAAGGGGAACAAGCGCTACGAGCTGAAGGTGAGTAATGGTCAGGTCGGGTCTCGGGAAGAGTATGTTGCTAATTTCGAGTCAGGATATCTATGGGCACATCGTGGAATTCAGTGGCGACCAGCACGGGTCGCGCTTCATTCAACAGAAGCTAGAGACGGCCAACAGCGATGAGAAGGAACAGGTGTTCCGCGAGATCCAGTCCAACAGCTTGCAGTTGATGACGGATGTGTTCGGCAACTACGTTGTTCAGAAGCTCTTTGAACACGGAAACCAGACCCAGAAGAAGATCTTGGCAAACCAGATGAAGGGACACATCTTGTCCCTGTCTACCCAAATGTACGGGTGCCGCGTGGTGCAAAAGGTAAGTGTCTTCTGCTCGGCTCCCAATACGAAATACTAATCTGCGACAGGCATTGGAACACATCCTCACCGATCAGCAAGCATCAATGGTCAAAGAACTGGAGACCCAAGTGATTCGCTGTGTTCGGGACCAGAACGGCAATCATGTCATCCAGAAGGCCATCGAGAGAGTCCCGTCTCAATATGTCCAGTTTATCATAAATGCCTTCAAGGGCCAAGTTGAGCGACTGGCTACACACCCATATGGGTGCCGTGTCATTCAGCGCATGCTGGAGCACTGCGAGGAAGTGGACCGGGAGTCTATCTTGGGTGAACTGCATGCCTGCACGTCAAAGTTGATCACGGACCAGTTTGGCAACTATGTCATCCAGCATGTCATCGAGAATGGTGAAGATAAAGACCGGTCTCGCATGATCGCAGTGGTGATGTCGCAACTCTTGACTTACTCCAAGCACAAGTTCGCCAGCAATGTGGTCGAGAAGAGCATTGAATACGGCGAGGAGTCTCAACGTCGGCAGATGATTAGCACGCTGACGAGTGTCAACGAGCGCGGCGACAGCCCCTTGATCAGCCTCATGCGTGATCAGTACGGCAACTATGTGATCCGTAAGTTGCATTCCAAGCCGCCCATATTATGACTACTAACTTCCGTTATAGAAAAGATCCTTGGACAGCTGGAGGACACGTCCGAAGAGAAGTACAGTCTGGCCGTACGCATCCAGCCGATGCTTGATCAATTGAAGAAGTTCAGTTATGGCAAGCAGATCGTGGCGATTGAAAAGCTGATTGGGGGGGTCATGCCACCCGCCGGCGCTCCCCTGGCCCACGCAGCCACATCGACGACGCCTCCCAACTCGCACAAGTCCTCCCCCCAGCCTTCCAAAAGGGCTGTGAATGGTGTCGAGAACTGCCGTGCTCCTGTGGTTGGCGCCGCTCCCCCGACCCCGCCTCCCACCGATACGCAGAGCAATGCTGATGGATCCTCGGAATCTAAGCATACGGCGAAAAGCACGGTGACGCCCTTGGCGGAATGCGAGTCGGCCAACCCGGTCACCAGCGACTCTGTCGAAGTCACTGGCAGCACCTAGGCCTGTTACGTTCCGAACGTTATTCTTACTTCTTATGAAATATATCTTTATAACTGGTCACGCACATTCTCCCAACTTGCTTCTAATACTTGGGGATATACATATTATGGGCGTGGAAGAGGCTTAGAAGCGCGGAGCTTCATTACCTTCATGCCCAGCTTCATGGCTTTATGGCGCTACAACGAGGGTGACGGCGGAAACTGATGTCTTTTTTCTATTATTACATTGCTTTCAATTTTCGCCTCCAGCCCTCCTTTCACTTCTTGATACTTTTTTTCTACCCCTCTACCCATTTAATTGCTTGTCGATGTATTCCCCTTCTTCTGTTACTCTGAAGTTCGACGTCATGAAAATGAGGACATGCCTCCATAGCTTATCAATGTTTTCTGTTTCTCTTTGTCCACACACACACACACACGAGGGGCCGGCGTCTTTATTGGTGAATAATGGGTTCATGGGACATCGCGCTTGATTTTCCTCGATGGGTTACAAAACGGGACCTTGGACATGGACATATGGGAGACCTGGAAATAGGGAGAATATAAGGGATGCCTAGAGTATGTAGAGGCCTTGCTGTCTCGGTATACAGACGATCAAAATGAAAAGCATTGCTGTTGCTGATTCAACCATCGCAATCGTGTTTGTAGTCCTAGGAATTAGAGCAATCTAACGTAACTAACCTCCAACTTTGATCTCCCTCCACTCCTGTCTTATCAGTCCCTTATCTTCACGTGACACGAAGCTCCCTCCATGGCCGCATGACTCGCCGATCCAGACCTTCGCCTCTCCAGCAGCAATAATATCTACCATCCTCAACCACCATACACCCACCTTCCACACCAATACACCAACCCTCACCCACCCACCACTAAACACCACATCTCAAGAACCAGACAAACAAAAGAGAAAACAAAGCAAAACAACCAAAATGTCCTCCAACGTCGGCCTCTCCACTCCCCGAGGCAGCGGCACCTCCGGCTACGTGCAACGCAACTTCGCATTCATGAAGCCGCGCAACGCCGGATACGGCGCGCCCTACCCACCCGTCAGCGGCGCGAACTCCTCGGACCACCCGTTAGACAAGCCCTTCAAACAGCGACAACCCGACAAGCAGATCCTGGAACATGATCGGCGGCGCTTAATCGAAGTGAAGGTTATGGAGGAGAGGGAGAGGTTGGAGGAGGAGAATGAGAGGATTGAGGAGGAGAGATCTAAGAAGAAGGGATCTAAGAAGGAGGAGGTGAAGAAGGAGGAGGGTGAAGAGGATGAGGATGAGGGTGAAGAGAAGGTGTTGACGGAGGAGGAGATTGATGAGAGGTGTGAGGCGCTGAGGAAGAGGTTGGTTAAAGAGATGGAGGAGGAGAGGGAACGTGCAGAGAAAAATGGAGGAGATGGGAATGGTGGTGGTGCAGGGAGACGCGGTCGTAGGGCGTGGGATTTGCCGCCTAAGGAGAGACGCCAGTTTAAGAGTTATCAGGTGCATGAGTTGGCGGAGGCGAAGATTGAGGAGAGTGAGAGGTTGAGGAGGGCGTTGGGGATTAAGGAGGAGAAATAGTTGTTTTCTTTTTCTTTGACTTTTACTTTTACTTTCATTGTTTGTGGTTGAGTGCATGTGGGTGGGTATCATGATTCTCTGTCTATTACTTCAAGGTGTTAGTGGTTGGTATGGGTGCTGGTTACGTTTTTATTATTGTTATGGCTACGGCAGATTCATCCCCTCTATACATTGGGGCAAGCAGATTATTTGCATCATCATCACTTTTGTAAAATTGTAAGCGTCTGGTATATATATATACATTATGCGACAAATTTTTCTATCACCCATCCCTCCTTCGCATCCTTCCTCTGGATGACCTTCTTGGCTGGTAGCGGCCACCGCGCTCCGCCGGCCTCACCTACCAACGACGGGATCACCCAGCATGATCGCCGTTGAGGGATACCTTCTATCAACTCCGTCTTGCCAATGGGCTTGCCGTACTCAATCAGCGGCGTTCCATGTGCCAGCGCAGACAGCTGTAGTCCGCTGGGTGTAGCGAGGGGATACATCCGAATCTTAGGGGTCTGGTCTGCAGATACAATGGAGGGCGACGATTGTTGGAGATGCGAGTAGACGATGTACTGGGGCATCTCCTTAGCGGAGAGCTGCGCAATGACAGACGACGGGTGCACATAGACAACCTTTTCGTCCAGCTCCAAGCCGGGTCCGTCACGAGACCTCATCAGCGTGAAGTAGGGAACATCAATGGCTCGCTTGGGGGTACGGTGCATCTCAGGCGGGACGGGCGCCAGGTCCGCGCGGAGAGCAACATTGTCGATGAACCCGGCCGTGATGATCTGCTTGATGGCCTTGACCTGCTTCTCGGTCGGTTCGGGCAAGCGTGCCTGATAGGCCTGGACCAAGCCCGGGTTGTTGCTGCGCACGATGTCTGTCAGCTGGCGGCGGAGCTGCGTGGCTTCCTTGAAGGCCTTTGCGCGCAGGAACATCTTGTCGCAGAACGCATCGCCGTCGGAGGCGTATCCGTAGGCGCAAATTGCCGATAGGTACTTCAGTGCGTCGGATGTGTCATCGTGCTTGCTGAAAAGACGGTGGACCCGAGCGTAGTCCTTGTGGCGCTGCTCCCGAGCAGTGTCTTCGAGACGGTCCGCGTTCGTGTATACACCGTTGCGCTCGTTGTCGTCCTTCGCTGGTGTAGGATCGATCTGGTTCTCCGGGACAAACAGATCGCCGACTGCGAGGGCGGAAACAAGTGCGATGACGTACGGCATACAGCCGTGCTGGTGGCCAACGTACAGCATCTTGCCGAACCGGGGAGACAGAGGGTATGTAGATAGGCGGTTACCTATTTGCGTGATCTGGCCTTCAGATGTGAGCGCACCCAGGTTCTTGAGGAGCTTTTCAGCCTTGGCTAGACCCTCGCGGCTGGGAGGTGTAGGGAATGGGAAGTTGATGACATTGTGGAGTCCCATGCTCTTCATCTGAAGTACGACACCCTCGATCGGCGTCCGCAGAATCTCCGGGTCAGTGTATTCGGCGAACTCGTTCTCGTAAATTGCCGAAGAGTACAGACGGTAGCAATGACCAGGTCCAGTTCTACCAGCACGTCCAGCTCGCTGGTTGGCACTGGCCTTGCTGATCCATTCAATTTGGAACTTCTGGACACCTGTTGCGAGATCGTACTGCTTCTCCTTTGCTCTACCACAGTCAAACACGTACTTTATGCCTGGGATTGTAAGACTTGTCTCAGCCACGTTGGTGGCTAAGACAATAAGTCGGGAGCCTTCCGGCGGGGGTTCGAAAACCCTAAGTTGCTCCTTGGTAGGAAGCTGAGAGTACAATGGGAGCACGTGGACTCGCGTCGTCGAACTCATGGCCTCTTCACCCAGATCAAACTCATCCTCATCCTCCTCGGGTTCATCCATTCCAGTGATTTCGTAATCACTCTCGTCATCTTCCTGGTTACCAGCAAGTGACAAATCAGTACCGCCGATCTCAAGATCTTCCGCCTCCAGGGGTGCATCGTTGGCAGAGATCTGGACCTTGGCTTGAGTGGCTTCGCCGCGCTGGGTGGGTTTGAAGGCCTGCTTCAAACGCTTGGACAGCTGTCGGATTTCGTTCTGTCCGGTCATGAACACAAGCATCCCGCCCGGAGGCAGCTTGCGGTGACCTCTCGACACCTTGCGGAATGCCTCTTCGATATAATCGCGGTTGGTACGTCGGGAGAAGTGGATGGTGACAGGGTACTGGCGACCTTGTGCCTGAACCAAAGGAGGCGGTCCTTGACGGAAGAGGTTCGGGTTTTGCGTAAAATCGGAGATGCGCAGGGTGGCAGACATAACTACGAGCTTCAGAGGCTTGACGGACGGGTCTTCCTCCTGCATAGCCTTCCGCAAGTCAACAATGCGGCTGACCATTCCGATGAGAATATCGGTGTTGACGCTCCGTTCGTGGGCTTCATCAATCACAATGACCGAATACTTGCTAAGGGAAAAGTCTTCGGCAATTTCGCGGATGAGGATACCGTCGGTCATGAACTTGATTGCGGTCTTGCTGGATGCCGTACTCTCAAATCGAATCTGGTAGGAGACTTGGTCGGAGAATTCGCCCAGCTCTTCGCCTACACGCTTCGCCATACTGACTGCTGCGACTCGGCGCGGTTGAGTTACTCCGATCATGCCTGGATTGGGGCTGTTGGGGTTGCCATAGCCCGCTTCGAAGAGAAACTGGGGAAGCTGGGTTGTCTTTCCGGAACCAGTAGCACCCCATATCACGATGGATGAGTTATTGTAGATTGCTTCCATGATCTTCTGTTCCTCGCCAACAACCGGCAGTCCCAAGCGTGCATTTTGTATTTCCTCTGACCGGTTGACCTGGACACTAAAGGCTTTCCGATTGGGATCCCCCGTAGTGACCTGAAGTTCCAAGGGCAATGGTTCCTCCTCGGCAACGGTGTTCCTGACTGGCTTCTTGCGTTCTGGAATGAACGCCTGCTCCTCGACGACTGGAACAGTGGTAGGCTTGAAACCGATAGCATCATTGATCTGCTGTCTGGCCCAAGATTTGAAGGCGGATTGTCGAGGTTGGCCCACTTTGTGCTTCTCTTCCTCTTCGCCTTCTTCGTCGTCATCTTCCTCACTATCTTCATCGTCTTCCTCGCTATCATCCTCATCTTCGTCCTCATCGCCCTCACCATCACTGCCGCTTCCGTCACTTGAGCCATCGGACGATGTTCCCTCTGAATCTTTATCTTCGCCCTCTTCGGACTCCTCGTCTTCGTCTTGATCCTCATCTGAGCCAAATCCTTCCCACGGCACTTCCGGCATCGTGATGGTTATCTCTGGTTTCTTTGCAACCTGCTTTCGCTTCTTGAGAACGGGAAACCCATCCGGACCGAGTTCCAGAGGGCGCTTCAACCCGATACCGGTCGCTGGGTTCTCTGCGGGCTTTTGCGCGGGGGCTTCAGATTTAAATTCGCTAATAGTGGTCTTCGATTGGGGCAACGAATCGTCCGAATCGTCGTCCGAAAAGTCTAGGTCCTGATCATGGCGCGAGTCGTGATCCGCGGTTCTAGATACGGCCGGTACTTCATCTTGTCGCTTGCGCTTTCCTAATTCCTTGGAGCTCTGGAGGGCCGAGGTATCAACCTTGGATTGCGCGAGCTTTTTAAGCAGCTCGAGATTCTCTTCTTTCTTCAGCTTGTTTTCCTGTACAAAGTGTTAGACATAACGATAGAGGATGGCCAATATAGAGGCGCACGCACGATATACTTGTCCAAGCGCTTCTGCTTCTTGGAAGAAACCTGAGCGTGCTGTGCTCGCAATTCTTCCTTTAGCTTCTGCCGTTTGGCCTCCTTCTCATCCTTAGAGACGGGCGCAAGTTCGGCAACATTGGTGTCTACCGGAGCGGTTGTTGCCTCCCTTTGCTTGTGCTTTTGCTTTCGCTGGCGGGGGACAAACTTGGGCATGATCACTAGACTTGACCCTTTGTCTTGATTGCAAGACAAAGTTAACCACGTCCCAGACTGAAAGTAAAAGTGAGGAGCGATAAGAGAGTGCCGTGAAAAAAATCAGGCGGCGGCCACATTCTGCCCGCAAAGCGGTGAGTATAGCCTCACCGCCTGGAATGTACTTCACGGCCAGTCACCCCTCTTCACTCTTCTCTCTCCTCTTCTTCTGCTTCATCGCGTTTCCTTGTGTTTATCACAGTGTTATTGTTTTATTCTTATCTTTTTTTTTATCATCCTAAGAAGGAAACTTGTGCATCTCATTGCTTGTCAGGGTATCTCTTAACTTAAATCACATCAAAAACAACCATGGATAGTGAACCTTTTGACATCAACCAACTCCAGGATCTAAACCTGCCCTACCCCGCAGTCACCAAGCAGGTTGTGGGAGATATCAAGGGTATCCAGACAAATGTCACCTTGATCAAATTCAGTGATAGGATTCTAATCACTATTTCACAGAAAGGCCGACTAGGACATTGGGTTAGTCAATAATCATGCCATGCTATTCTCATCTCAACTAACCTACTTCAGCTGCACGTGCCACTTGAGAACAAAAACCCAGGAACAGAGGGCTTTCACACCATCTCCGAGCCTGCTGAGGACAGTCTTCTTCCTATTGGCAATCTGACTGCCACGTCACTCCTCGGTGGCCGGGCTCCTGGACATGAAGTAGTTGGTCAGCTTTATGCTCGTCAAATCGCCAGTGCCATTGTCACCAAGACGCCCAATGAGAAACGTATGCTCGTTTTGGGGCTTGGGCTTGAAACTGCCGACGCGGATCGAGATGTTTTCTTTGCCGTCATTGACCTTGTGCTGCAATGCATCTAACGAGCCAATAAGGTGGCCCAATGACATGACCAACTCTATGCCAGGAACTACCACTTACACTTACCGAACTATATCCTCAGCATCATCCCTACGTCGCATGAGCTGCACGCACGGGTCCTGCCTCGCGAGTATTAGGTTGGTGAGACGTCTTCGCTCCATTCTAGTGAAGCCCACGAATATCAGTCTTCCAAGGACCGTGAAGGCCCCACTGAACAGAGCCTGGACCAAATCGTTCTCGTCAAAACCGGGGATTTTCCAATTTTCAGTGACAGCGACGGTCAGATCATAGACACGCAAGGGCCCCTCCATTCTCAAAGTGGTAATGAAGAGCGCAAACCCCCAGCGACGTCGAACTGCCGTCTCATGGTTCTTGTCACCAAGTGAAAGCACAAGCGATCCAAACGTTCTTTCTTTGTCGCACTCAATATCGAGACAGATGAACCCTCTACGCTTATAAATGCATCGATCCAGCTTCAAAGGGACGCTTTTGAGGTAATGCGCGGTAGAGCCTCCGTACTCCTTGAGGACAAGCCTGCTGTATGCAAGCGAATAGAAGAAGACCAGCAAGGCTTCATGGAAGATCTGATGTGAGGTCAGGAGGATAGCGAGGCTCGTTGTCGTCTGTGCGAATTCCTCCAGCTCCACGGCACTCCAGTTGTGCGGGAACAGGCATTCCCATATTTTTAGTCTGACTTCCAGGGGGAGACGGTACAGAAGACACGTCGACATTGGCTGTGGGTCAAACCGGGCTACTTTCAGCATCTTAGTGATCTGTTCATCGGCTACCTCATGGTACTTCGGCTGTTTGTCATGTTCTTTGAAATCACTAACAGCCCCCGACTTTTTGTCGTACAAGGGCTTGACAAAACGAACTACTGGTCTTGTCGGCGTCCGATGTCAGCAGCGAACAAAGTCCGAGATCGAAAACAAGACGAGCACGACTTACCCACGATTGCTGGGGTCATGGCGATTGTGCTCTTGCAGCAGACTTTGATACGAGCCTTGGCTCTCAAGAGCTCCTGGCGGAACCACTCCCGCCATGTCATCAGATGAACGAAGATGCGCGGGATGTTTGGAGATGTTGTTTGATTTTAGATCAAGCAGCAAACTTGAGGTCAAAGCTAGATGCAAATATTGGCAGAAGGGGCCATCTGTGATAGTCGGGAACACTGGTCTGGAGCAGCTGTGCATGGCCAACTGTTTGCATGTGTATCCTATTAGCCAAACGCAATCAAACATAAATTGCTGGTAGTGAATGCTTCCACATAGTTAATGCTCTGAGTTGTAGACCCAGTAAATTGCAGCTCTAAATATATCCCCATTTCCTCCCACTATAAATATTTAGCAGTATCCTGCATCCTTCTGGCCTTTGGTGCATTGGGGGTTCAACTGGTGCTCTCCAGCTCAGCCCGTCTCGGTCACGTGCCGGCTGCCAGGATCCCAGGGTGTGATGTGAACCTGCACTTCCTCTCTCCTAACAACCTCCTAATCCATTCAACCTTCTTATTTCCTAACTGTAAGACTTTTTGCTTAATTCTCGGGTCATTTGTTTGATGAACACAGCGTTGCGCTTGTTTTGCTGCGCTGGAGCATCTCTAGCGTCGGCCTGATAAACAGACAACCTCCGGTACGAACTACCATCAGGCCTTTATTTATTCCGCTAGTTGTTACCAACTCATCCCCCCTTTACCCTCACTATCATTCTATCCTCTTTCTTGGATCTATCATCGCACTCATCGTATCTTCTGGTATTAAGAAATCATTTAATATGGCTCCACATGAAGGGGAACGCCAATTTGAGACATATGATCTAGACTCTGAACCCGATCAGCGTCGCAGCTCCGAGAGACAGGTGGTTGATCTCACAGCGGAGTCTGATTCAGATGACGTTGTACCTATCTTCCCCAAGTCGCGGTCCGTAATCGGATCTGACACGGATGATGAGGCGGGTGATGATGATCAATATGATGAAGACCTAAAGAGAGCTATCGCGCTCTCGTTGCAAGAAGCTCAAGGAGGCTCGGGAGGATCCTCCAGTCCTCTGCAGATTAGCGACTCTGAGAAAGGGGAGACCCAGGGCAATGATCTTCCCTCAGTAAAAGAGGTCGAAGAGAAGACAAACGACCAAGAACCTGCTAAGTCTATGGGTATCTTCGGTCTCGATCGAAAGCAGATGGAGCAAGAGCGCCTCGCACGACTTGCTAAGAGAAAGGCTGAGGATACTAGCTCCATTGATCTCCGTGAGACCAAGCACTTGAAGATTGACTCAGCCCCAAAGCCTACTGTCCAACCCACTGTGGCCACTAAAGGTACGATTATGTCTGCATCACAGCCTACAAGCTCTAAGTCGATCCCATCTACTTCACCGTCGGTTCAATATCCAGAGGGTATTGTCAAAAAGACATGGGCCTTTGGATGTCCCCGGCAAGGCGACGATATCAAGATTGAAGAGGTCTTGCAGAAGTCTGATCTGGAGCTTGCTGTTTTGAGCTCATTCATGTGGGAGATGGATTGGGTGTTCAGTAAATTCAACATTGAGAAGACCCGTTTCATAATGGTCATGCAGGCTGAGGATGATGCTACAGTGAGTATTCTCCATTGTCCTTTGCACCCTGGAATCGAGCCTTGTCTAGAAGAAGCTAATCACCGGAGAAGAAACGTCAGTACGAATCAGAGACGGCTACCATGCGGAACTTGCGCTTATGCTTCCCACCAATGGGTGGGCAGGTGGTTTGCATGCACTCAAAGTTGATGCTGCTCTTCCACCCTGGATATCTTCGCCTCGTGGTACCGACAGCCAATCTAACCCCATTTGACTGGGGTGAGATGAACGGAGTCATGGAGAACGTAAGAATCATAAGAGCGTCTATTCCCCAGACCCCTGCTGACACACCTCCAGAGCGTCTTTCTCATTGACCTACCGAAAAAGAATGGCGCCGAGAAGCCAACAACCCATTTCTACGAAGATCTGGTTCATTTCCTCAAAGCCAGTACTCTTCATGAGAACATAATCGCCAAGCTTGACAGCTTTGACTTTAGCAAAACATCGAAATATGCCTTCGTTCACACCATGTATGTCCCCTTTTCCTACTAGCCGCATCGAATATCTCTAACGGTCCCAGCGGTGGCTCTCACACAGATACTGCGTGGAAACGAACAGGCTACTGCGGCCTAGGTCGTGCAGTGGAAAGACTGAACCTTCGTACATCCGTACCACTCAACATCGACTTCATCGTAAGCATCTACCCTCTACCCACAACCATCTACTACATACTCACAAGTCAAGGCTTCCTCCGTCGGCGCTATAACAGACCAATTCCTCCGCTCCTTGTACCTCGCTTCACAAGGTACACACACTCCCAAACCCCCTTCCCCTACCCATAAACCTGGCACTAACACCTAAGTCTCCCAAACCCAAAGGCGACGATGGTCTTACCGAATTCACAATCCGCTACGCCAAAAACTTCCCAGTCCCCCGACGGGACGATCCCTCCAAACTCCTCAAGAGAGACACAGGCACTGAATGGAAAGACCGATTCCGTCTCTACTTTCCCTCCCAGAACACCATCGCAACATCAAAAGGTGGTCCCCGCTGCGCAGGCACCATCTGCTTCCAGTCAAGATGGTACAACGGCGAGAACTTCCCACGCCATATACTCCGAGACTGTGAAAGTCAAAGAAAAGGCTTGTTAATGCATAACAAGGTGCGTATACCACCCTACCCACTTCCTCCCCCTACAATAGGGATAAATATTTCTAACATCCCACCCCCACTCAACAACAGATCCTCTACATTCGCCCCGACGAACCCATCCCTCTATCAGAAACAACTCAATGCCGCGCATGGGCTTACGTCGGAAGTGCCAATCTATCCGAAAGTGCCTGGTACGTATCCATATCCCCTCATAACCATCACATCCATACCTAACCCTTCAATTTCACCCAACCCAACACTCACTAACCCATGTACCTCTCTTTCAAACAGGGGCCGCCTCGTCCAAGACCGCTCAACAAAATCCCCCAAACTGAACTGCCGAAACTGGGAATGCGGCGTAATAGTCCCCGTTATCGAAAACAAGACGGATACCCCAGAAGTGAAGGATAAGATGATATCCGAAGATAAAGATAAAGGTAAAGGCAAAGCCTCTGAACCATCTTCATCGTCATCATCGTCAACCTATAATGATGACGACGGGACAAACCTCCCCGCTGTATTCGGGGATACTGTTCCGGTTCCGATGCGGGTGCCGGGGGCGAGGTATAGTGGGGGGAGGAAGCCGTGGTTTTTTGCGGAGAGTCAGAGTTGATGTTGGACCCTAGCTGTAGTTAAGAAATAGGTGTGTGGTGTGGATGTTATTCTTGGTAGTGATAAGGAGTTCTTGATATATGTGGGTAGATGTATGTGCAAGACATTTATCTCGGTTGATAGTAGTAAGACATATCTAACCAATCTGATGATACAAAAGCCCTACTATTACTACTCCTAGAAAGGATAATATAGAATATATCTCTAGAATAATATGCATTATGTACCTATTATGGATCAAAATATAACCCAAAAAAAGAAACAACATGAAGAAAAAGGCTTGACCAAAAAGCCAAAGCCCACCCGACAAACACACACGCTAATGCATCTCTATCTATCTTGCATGATAATATAAACCAAGAGAAAAAAATTGCAAATCCGATCCAATATGCTTTTCTCTGTCCTCCTCCTGCTGCTGCTTTATCTCGTATCCCAGGCCACATAGGCCTGTATGTATCTTTTTTGATGATAATTTGTATTTTATGTTTCTGTCTCCCATGGGTATCACGGGAGTAGACGACTCACGCAGCAGCATCCATCAAACGACGAATGAGCTGCGGCTGTAAGAAACAGTGGCGAAGCCTCAGCTCTACGCCTTGGGCGATCTCACAAACAGCTTCTTAATGCTACCGAAGAGCACTCCCAGCGCAGTGAAGACGTAACCAAGTCCAAACGACCAGCCACGGACACGCACGCAGTAGATCATGAAATAGACCAAGAACCAGTTGATGATCACATAAGCCAGGAAAATACCGAAGCAGCGCCACTTGTCGCCATCGTGCACATTGAGGGTGTGCATGTACTGGGAGCCGTTGGCGTAGGGGCAGTACTGGCAATCCGAGGTGGCGTTGGGGTTGGAGAGGTAGCCGACGCCGGCACTCGAGACCCAGTCGCTGGCGTACTGAGAGCAGGTTTGGCCGGGGGGAGGGTTGAAGTGGGTGGTTTCCGAGGAGGCGCATTCGATGTCAACAGTGGGGAAGACGCTCGAGATGACACCGCGGAGCCACCAGGTGACAGGGTTGACGTAGTACATCCAGTACTTCCAGAACACGGGGTACGCGGAGTAAGGACGGACGACACCGTTGAACAGGCCGGTCATGACGAAGAAGAAGGGAAGGGTCTGGTGGATGAGTTAGCTGTTTGCTTTGGTTAACTCTGAAAACGGATTAACTTACGTTGGAAATGACGGTGAAGGACGGAGCAAAGGCACAGATCCATTGACCCCAGCTGGCTTGGAACAGGAAGAAAAGCACGGACATGAGGAAGACGTATCCGGCATTACTCGAGTCTGTAGGGAAACCGGCCGGGTAGTACCACAGCAGCCAGTAAATCAGTCCGGAGATAATAGCCATCGGGATTTCGCAGATGATGTTGGCCGTGCAGAATGCGAACCATCCGTAGATACGACTGGGGTACTCGCGAGCTTCCCAAAGTGCCCGATTGATGTAGAACTTGGGGACCAAACTGTTCAGGACGATAGGCGGGAGGAGGATAATCAAGAAGATCGAGAACATCCGGTCCTGCATGCTAGAGATGGTGTTTCCGAGCATCCAGAAGGTCTACATGGATTAGCAAGTGTGCGTGAGAGGGCTGAGCCAAGGGTACTTACAAAACCGTTGAAGATACCAATGATGACACTGACGAAAAGCTTTCCATAGTAGTAAGAAGGATCTCTCCAGTACTGTCTGAAAATTCTCATCATGAGGTGGTAGGTTTGGGTCGTAACAGGAGCAGCGAATTCGTACGGCACGCCCTGCTCATCTAGTGGGATCTTGCTGCGCTCCTCTCTGATGGTCTTGATCTCGTCCAGAATCTTTCGGTTCTGCTCCGAGTTCCTCCATTCCTCGTTCCAGTCAAAGCTCTTGCCATCCTTCTTGGTCGCCTTAGCCGCCGTCTCAAGAATGAACTCGGCGACGTTCTTCGAAGGGGGGCAGACAACACCGCGGTCGGCGAAGTACTTGATCACGTCGCGTCCTTCATGACCGACCGGGCCGAAGTAGAAAGTGTTACCACCAGGGTTCAGAGCCAAGATCATGTCGAACTGTTGAATCAGCATGGACGAAGGCTGGTGGATCGTGCACACGATAGCCTGTCCGGCTTGAGAAAGCTTCTTCAAGAATCGCACGATGGAATAGGCCGCTTGACTGTCCAGACCGCTAGTGGGCTCGTCGAGGAAAAGAAGAAGACTGGGCTTGGCAGCCAGCTCGACACCGATGGTGACGCGCTTCTTCTGCTCGACGTTGAGGGAGCCAATGATGGCATCCTGGATTTCCTCGAGTTCCAAAAGGTCGATGATCTGGTTGACGTAGGCAAGCTTTTCCTCATCCGGAGTGTTTCTGTCCTGACGAAGCAGCGCGGAAAATTCGAGAGCTTCGCGAATGGTAGCGGTATTGTCATGGAGATCCATCTGCTCACAGAAGCCGGTGCCTCGCTGGAAGTCGGTGCCCAGCGGATGGCCATCAACAAGCATATCGCCAGTGACCACACCCATTTTCTGACGCTGAGCCAGAGTGTTCAGGAGCGTAGTCTTACCAGCTCCGGAAGCACCCATCAGGGCAATCATGAGTCCGGGTTTAGCATAGCCGTTGACACCATTGAGAAGCTTCCTTGTACCATTGCCGTAGGGAACCGTATATTCAACGTTGGACCAGGTGAAGACGCGGTCGCTAGATGAGATGCGGTTGAACGTGTCGCTGTTGCTGTTGGACTGAGCCTGAACACCAGCGCCCTGGGTCTTCTCTTCGTCACTTCCCTTGCCGCTCTGCGCCGTGAGCTGCTTAGCACGCTTGGAGCGCTTGAATACCAAGGCACCACCGCCACCACCGACGAACGAGAGAAACTCGGCAGCAAAAACGGTCACCAGGATGTAGAGCACAGTGAAGGCAATGACGACACCGAAGTTACGCCACATGTGATGGCGGGTGAACTGGTAGGCGGTCTCGATGTAGTTGGAACCCGAAACCTGCGTCTGCCCGAGCTGAGAGCCGGTGAGAGAGCATCCCTGGTACCTGGGATCCAAGTCAGAACCCTGGGGGACCAACATCGATGAGGCGCAGTCCATGAGTCGACCAGCAAACTCGTTGGACAGAACGGCTTCGTAACTGTAAGACAACGGGTTGACGTAGAAGAGCCATCCGAACCAGATCGAACCATCGATGAGAGACTGCTTGGGAATGACATAGCCAACGAACAGGATCAACACGTTAAGCGCGATACCACTGAATCGGACAGCGTCGTCGATCGATGGCGAAAGCGCAGCGAACATGCGATACATGGACGTGATGCAAAACGTCGTCGTGTACACGAAGAGGAAGTAGATCCAGAACTTGGAAGCGGTCACGTCGAGTCCGGACATGAAGTAGACGATAATGGTGAAGGGAACGACCATGCAGAAGATGGCTGGGAAATCCACAACCACACGAGCAATGGAAACAGCCGACGGACGGTAGAAGGCGTAATCCTTGTGACGGGCAACAATACCACGACCACTGACCGCCGGCATCAGTTCCGTCAATTGCAACCAACCCAGGAACAGAATCGAGAAGAACAGAGCACCACCGCGAGAGAAGGCGCCGCTGGTATTCAACGATTCACCATAGAACAAAGACGAGACAATCAAACCGTTAGCAAGAATGATAAAGTACTTGGTGTAGAGCGAGGTCTTGTCACCCCAGAGCAGCCAGAACTCACGACGCACACAGGCGGCGACCTGGCGGACCAGAGAAACGGTGTACGGCGACTTCTTGGACACGGTCTTACTCTTTGACTCGGCGACCGACTTCTGGAAACGACGGGTGCTCTCCTGGTTGGTGTCTTGAAGCTGCTTCTCATAGCCAGAAACATCGTCCAGGATACGCTGGTAGGCACTGCTTTGTCTGAACACGGACTCGAGCTCTTCCGCGGTCTTCGGAGTCGAAGCTTCCCGGCCGGGCTGGAATTGACGGGCGTTGGGGTCGCACAGGGAAGTCAAGAAATCGGCCGTAGTCGACTGTTCGGGGCAGTGGAAACCAAGGTTCACAAAGTACTGTCTCGCCTCGTTGGCGGGACCTTGGTAGAGCATGCGTCCCTGGTCGATCACCAGCACCTTGTCCATGAGTTCGTAAATGCTCTCACCGGCCTGGTACAGGGTGACAAACGTGGTCCGCTTGCTGATGTCGGTCATGATGCGCAGGGACTTGGCGTAATCCAGGGCGGTGCTGGCGTCGAGACCCCTAGTGGAGTTATCCCAGCAGACGACGGAGGATTTGGTGGCCAGCGTCTCCGCGATACTGACACGCTTTCGCTCTCCACCGGACACACCGCGAACATACTCGTTGCCGACCACGGTGTTCTTGGTGTGCGAGATACCGAACATCTTCAACAAAGCATCGATGATGATCGGGATACTTTCCTTGTCGTGCTTCTTGGTCTTGTTAATGAGGGAAAACTTGAGGGTCTGCCAAACCGTGAGGTTGGGGAAGTGCTGGTCGTCTTCCTGGTTGTAGTTGACCTCACCACGGAAGTGCTTGTGCTGCTCCTCCGCAGACATACCGCCGTAGCTGATCTCACCCTCGACGCCGGCGAAGGCTTCTCGGTCATTGGCGATGGTTTTGAGGAAGGTGGAGCAACCGGCACCAGGTCTTCCTAGCACCAGCATCATCTCACCTTCCCGCACAGCACCGGTGAACTCGTGAAGCAAGTCTCTCACGGGGGGCTTGCGACCAAAGCGGAGTTTGGGGGCGAACCTGCAGACAATATTGTAGAGATCGGGTCCAAAGGTACCGATGACGGCGTCCGGAAGGGTACGAACAAAAGACGCACCCGTCTCGACACCCTTCACGGTGACGTCCTTGAACACCACGCCCACCTTCTTGGCGGGTTCGCCTGCGGTCGTCCGGCGTTCGAGGTGGCCGCCCATCAAGAACTCGCTGAGATCGAAACCGCCATAACCGCTGTCCGTGGTGCCGGACATGTCGTCGTCGTCTTCCATGGCCTTCTCCTCATCGCGCGCCTGGCTTGCGCGCGAGCGCAGTCGCTGAGCTTCTCGAGTAGCGGAACGGGTTTGGTGCAAACTGAGGCGGGTCAATTCCTTGCGCATTTCCTCGAAATCCTCCATGGCGCCGCGACGAGAAACAGGCTCCTCTTCCTGTTCTCCCCAACGGCCATCAGCGGACAGGTCGGTCTCGCTAGTCGACTGGGAGGTCACGGTTTGGTCGGAAGCGATAACGTGGGAGCTTTCTTGGACGTGGGAGTGCTCCTGGGTGATAGTCGGGACATTTTGCAATGCATCCGGCTGACGATGTTCGTCAGCCATGGTGGAAACTGTGGCGCCTGTCGTCAGGCGAATTCCCAGGGGGGGATCTGCAAGTCGGACGTAAGGTGGTGGTGATATCGTAGGCTACCAACCGAGTGGCGCAAAGCAAAACGGCGAACCCAGGAAATTTTTTGAAGGTGTGAAACTCCGATCGAAGACAGGAGAACGGGGGGAAAATAGGGATAATAAATAGATATTAATAGGTAATGCCACGAATACGGAAGGCAAGGGATGTTATCAACGTTTAGCTGGAGTAAGTATGGAAGATATGTACAGCCAAAGATAAAGACGATGATTAGTGCAGTTAGGGGGGGATGTAGAGGGTTGATGCGGCACGGAACTGGGGCGCTCCAGGAGCTCCAGCACACGCCTTGAGAGGAGTGGAGATTGGGGTGAGGGTGGAGGAGAAAAGAAAGAAAGACCGTAACCGACTCAAAGGGAGAAAGAAACAAGAGCCATCCACTGACACTAAAGAGGGGGAGAAAGATAATAAATAAGTCAGTGGAGGAGGGGAGGACGTTGCATCACGGGTATAAACGATATTGGCGGCGTCGGCGTTATCAGACGCTAACGCCGCGGGACCACTTTTGGAGAAAAAAAATTATTCATGAGGGAAGAACTGGAGAAAGACAGGCAAGATTGGAGGCGGATTTGTCAGGATTGCAAACGAGCATTGACAATAGACTCGGCTTGTAGCCATGCCAAATGGACCCGAAACGGACCAGGGTCCATATCCGTGGCGGCGACGACAAGCAGACGGATTTAACCAAGCAATCAGAGAGCGTAGAGAGACGGAAGGACCAGGTAGCGGAACTGGATCGAAGGAGTGGATTGCTGACAATTGAAACTGCAGCAAGAAGGCGATGGAAAGCTGGACATTCCATCGGGTGAACTGCGGTGGGTCATTTTTCATCTTGTTCTTCTTTTTTCTTTTTCATGAGTCAAGATGAGGTCCACGGATGTCAGTTTCTAGAAATGTGATTGGTCACGGGAGCCATGGATTCAGGGGTCGGCTGGACCCGAATGGCTCTGGAAGCGGAAGGAGCGACGCGGATTCAGCGAGGAATTCATTTTCCAGGCGCACTTTCCTAGTTTTGACTTTGATGTTTGGATTGTTTGTTTGGGCTGCTTGTCATCATTTTTAACGGTGGGTCGGAGATAAGCCTACTTTTCTCTTACTTCCACTTACTTCCTGTCCGGCGTTAAGGTTTAACATCTGAAATTTCGAAGCGGGCTCTCTTTTCGGTTAGTCCGAAACAACCTCGACTCGATGATTTCCTCTTCTGCTGCTGCTGCTGCCCATCTCCTATAATCGACAAATAACTCATCATCTTGTAGATTGTCCTCGTCATCATCCATCATCCATCATCCTTCTCTTGGCATAGGAAGCTGACTCTATCATATTATTAATCACTGTCACTACTAGTCAAGTACTAAGATTAATTGTGATCCATAACACTCTGTCTGACATGAGCTCATCTGGTTAATTATACTATAAGTAGTAATAGATATACGTAGATACTAGATAGTAATTTGGACGCCTGATGTGTACTTGTGAACTGGAACGCAGGGGAGCTTCCAGTAATTTCTACTAACGTGGGTACCCTTTACTTTTCTTGTGATACCAAACGGATAATATTACTATAATTATTGCTATCATTATTAATCAATCATTGAGGGTGACGATCCCTCACATTCATTCACTCCATCTCTCGGTTCTGAGCTCAATCGGCACTACTCCGGAACGGGGTCCCCGGCAACCCTCGAGTCAGCCTGCCGACCACTTCCCTACCAAACCCAGTCAGCAAACGATTCAGCCAAGTGGGTTTGGCCACAGGCTCGGAACCGACTATGGAGCAAACCTGCTGCTTGTTGCTGCTCTTGCTTCTTGCTGCTGCTGCTGCTGCTGCTGCTGCTGATTTCTGCAAGTCCAGCCACAATTCCCAGCTCAAAGTTGCACGATCGCTCACTTTATATTATTTTTTTCCCTTCCGCGTGCTTTTTCCGGCCGTGGCCTCTGGTTGGTTCTCATCTTTCCATGAAACAACTTACTTGAACCTTGTTGGGCAGGAGCTTGGACTCGATTAGCCACACCTGATTCACCCGGGACTGCCATGCCGACCGGGTGCGATCTGTCAGATCTGATGGGTACCGGTTCTCGCCCTACTCGTGTCGTTTCCATTTGAATTCCGAGGCCTTTTCGGATCGCCTTGTGCTCTTGATTTCCCCTTTTTCCCTGTTTGCTCCATTTTCTCCCATCACACCGCTTGGGCCTCACTCACCCCCTCCCCCTCCACTCCATCTCCCACACCCTCTCCCCCCAAAGCAACAACCCAACCACAATTTGGGCCACCAGCTGACTGCCTAGGAATATCGCCTTCAGGCAACAACCTCACTTATCCGACCAATAATGGCCGTCTTCCTGTTCCCTACGGAGCTTGGTATCAGTCTAGCCCTTCCCTGCACGGATCGCCTCCACTCCCAAGCTCAAGCTCCCCATCTGGCTCTTGCTGAGCTTTCAGTGGACTAAGAAACATACACCTTTTACCACTTTCCAGAGATCCCCCCCTAGGCTGATATTCGAGACTGATATTTGAACCTCCCCCACTATCACAACCTGTTTCCTAGGGTTGAATGTGCTACTTTCAGGCATGCGCTCGGAAAACTGAGCATCACACGGCAATGCACTGCATCGCCTATACCGGAGAAACTCCAGACTGCGGGGGTTGGATGCAAAAGTCCACAGGTATTTAGCCCCAGTCTTGGATCTGTACATGTGCTCCTACAGTGGGAACTTGAGTATAGCAGCGGCAATCTCGGACAGATCCATGCACACTTTGCGGTCAGCTCAGGCAGCTACGCAAAGCGCGGGGTGGCTCGTAAACTTTTAGTCTCTTGCTTCGTTTTCCCTCCTCTATCTCTGTGAGTATCTATCTATCTACTGTGGCTTTCTTCATGCTCAGTGGCTCCCTGCACCTGGACGCAAAATTGCGATGCCAGCCTGCACGTTGCTCGGTGAGAGTGCCTAGTTGGCACTAGCCCCAAGTATGCCCGGTCACCTCTAGGCCAGGGTCCGCGGTCTTTCGCACCGCTGCATCTCAATCCAGCCACTACTATCTTCCATGATCCAGCCTTCCCGGCTGCTAGCCACTCGCCAGTAGCTTCCCGTTGCCTTTTATATTCTTGGCGTGGAACTGCCTTGCGGCCGCCGGTGACACAATCCGGTTTCTTTGGAACAGTTCACCTGGCGTTATACCCTCGTGTCGATGTTATGGCTTGCCGTGTCTTGAATCGACGTATCCCGTCTGTCTGCATCATCTGACGGATTAGCATGCGCTCCGAATGTATGTTGGTTGACTGTCCAAGCCGCGAAACCGCCAGATCCACGTGTTCGACGAAGGGTATAGGCTGGTTGTGTAACCGGGTTTCCTTCCGGAGCAAGACTGTCTTGTCCGCTGTCGATGTGATTCCCAACTAAAGTCGCACTGACCAATAATCCCTGCTCTCTTTCAACATCGGATAGCACGGCTATATGCATAACCTGCAGGGAAGTACCCCACAATGGCGTTACTCTTTCGGCATCCGTTGCCGGTTCACCCCAACCAAATATCGATGGTCGTGTCTTTGAGGCTGGAGCATCGCTCTTGTATGGAACTCAATGCAGGACTGAGTTACTATGATAGGAAACAACCCATTTCGTGTCGTGGCCATCAGATCTAGTTGCCGATTGAATTGAAGAGGATTGGTGCAACAATCAGTACAGAGTATATCTTGGATGCATGGAGTTGAACGTTCTTGGCTAGCTCCTCACTGACCAACAAAGGTGATTGAGTGCTGTCAATCACGAACCCTTCGTGCTAATCAAGTGCTACTAGCCCGTTGCTGGCTTGTTCTTTAGGTGGATCGACACGAGCTTAGTCCAGCTACACACTACTTGCGAATACCTGACTTGCCCTGCAATGCTTCCATCTTTTCAGTAGGTGTATTAGATTCCTGCAAGGTGGCTGAAATGGGCCTTGGCAGTCTAGACCGGACACGAGGCGACGATTTCATATTTAGGGAGAATGGATCTGTAAGCAGCGGTCTGTACACGTATTTCACGGCCAAAATGCCTCGTTGACATAGACCAATGATGGTATTCTCTATCATAACGGTGATAGCTTGTAGTCAGAGAGCCTGATACGAATCTCCAAATGCTGCCCAAGCAACACTTCTTCTGGTCACAGTCGGCCTGGAGCAGGCCGTCAGGAATCGTAGCTGATTCCATAATCAGATAGTCTCAATAGAATGGGAGATTGCAAGTTTGTTACTGTTGGCTTGGTGGTTTGCCGTGAACGAAACTTGCTAGTTATAGATCACGATACGCGCTAGTCATGAACTGTAGTTGAGTCTCATGGCGATGCTCCCTCTTTCTACCTATGATCCACACGGTGACTCAAACCAACAGGTTTTCAAGCAGACACTGGATCTCTTTAGATCGCAAGATCAGACCTAATAACTGCATCTTGCGGTGGATAGCATCACCCGGATCTTCTGATTGTTGTAGCAGCTGATAGTGGTGCGACTACTATATGAGCTGGATATCTGGATTAGCGCTGCTTTAGTAGAGATTAGTCGAGGTCAGCCCTGCGGCCCCTTGCATAGTTCTGAGATCAGATAGATTAGCCGTCTGGCAATGGAGATATTGTAGCGCAGTGAGAAGTTTCCGGGGGCGATGGAAATAAGGTTCCCGTGACTGGATCCGCCTCCATCATTCGTCCCGACTCCACAACTACTCACTCATTTCCAACCATCCTCCATGCTGCCTCCCCTTTCCTCAACTCATCCCCTTCGTCGAGGTCAGTCTCTCATCGAAAGACTTTCTTCTTTCACCTGACAATGGTCTTCGTAATGATCGCTGTCGACTGATTCTGCTCCTCTTGGCGCCCGCGATCCATGCGGCCATCGCAGACTTCCAGCTGACCCGCGCCGCCTCTCTCACCTGATATAACCTCGACCATCTGTCGACTCGTTTGTCGTCATCGTTCTTCCCTAACGCTGGATAAAATGGCCTCTTTGATAAGGTCGCGAAACTCGGGCATTCCACCCGCAAAACGCACCCATCTCTTCGACATACCATAGCGCTTTTTCCCCCGACCTCCTCCTCCGTACTCCATTCTGATGGAGATCCAACAACAATATCGCAATGGGTATTCGGGATGACCGCGATGGAGGAGAAACACCATCCTTCACCATGGCACACCCTACAATGGCCATGGTGACAATCGATCGTCCTGCCGCTCCAGCGCCGGATTCTTCTTCCCCCCTGAAACCAGCCGGCCAAGCTAAGCAACCACCCTCTGACCCAACAGCCACCCCGGACCCCAACCTTGTCAACCCCCGTCTCCTCGTGAATGGCGCTTGTATCTACGAGCGGCACCTTCCAGGCGATGCGTACATTACTGCACACGTGCAGCGTCTTCAGCACGGGTTCTACGCCAGCCCCGCCGTGTCCAACCAAGACCACAACCACGTGGACTTCCTCGGTATCACCTTCGTCTTTCACTCGCCCAATACTCTCTCCCATCGCTTCAAAGCAGCCACCATTCGGGCCTCTGTTCAGAGCGCAAGGGAGCAGTCATCGTCAAGCAACCGGACCCGCCATCCCCGCTTCCTCATGCATGCCCCGCACCTCCTCTACGGCGCCGTTTCCCCTGAAACCCTACAATGGAACTACAGTCTCAGCGGCTCGCTTGGAGTCTCTGACCTCCCTCTCATCGCGAGTCTCTCACCCAGCGGTGGCATGAACGGACGTTATAAGCGGTATGAGATGATGCGGATTCAGGGGTCGGTGCGATCGCTCAGAAGCCCACGCGGCCGAGCCTTCGACGTGGAGGGCGGCGAGATCGTGTGGACCCTGGAGGAGAACAACTTGCAGCGATCGGGCCTGCCGCGCGAGTTCACCTTCGCCATGCTGATCTCGAAACCCCGTGCGGAGAGCCGAGTACAGTTTGCGCTGGACATCGACCCAGTCGTCCAATGCTGGTGGTCGAGTTACCCGGGGCCCCTGCTAGCCCTACCGCGATACAAGCCCGTGCGTCGACGGCCGGTGGATTTCCGGACAGAAGTGGGCCAGCGTTTCGAGCCCCTCACGGCAGACAAGGGGTTCAATTTTGCGGCCCTAGAAAGCTCGTTCGATGATTACGTGCATATGCCGGGGCGGAAGTTTTCATCTGGCGTACGTGGTACCCATTCCCTTGAGCATACATTGGAAACCAAGAGTTATGCAGAAATATATATACTGACATCGGAGTTTGCTGCAGATCTCCCCGGACGGCGGAATCGCACAAGACGACAACGAAGTCCGACGCGACGTGACCCGCGATTGGACGATGATCGAACCGTTGCGTGGAGTTAACAAGATCCCCGCCTTGTTGCCGGGCAAATCGGGACTCAACCCCAACCAGCCTATTCCTGCAATACCGGGATTCGATCCGGGAAGTTTCACAATGCGATTACTGTTGGATAATGCACATGGGTCAAGCAGCAGGTACGCGCATGTGACATCGGAAATGACCAATGTACGAAATGGGCAGCGAACCGAGCGACGAATGGAGCGACGCAGCAAGGGAAATAATAAATAGCATTTAGCATGGAGTTGGCTGGTCTGATTGTCTTGTCTTTGTTAGCGACTAGCATGATACCCGGGATACAAGATTGATAGAATTGGGTGATGCGCAGTGATAGAACTCAACGTGGAGATACTGTCTGGTTACCTCTAACTTATCCTATACGTTATTATAGTACCATTATCATTCACAAAGTACCACTACGAGATGAATTTCTAATCCGCAGCATCATTCTACCGGTAGTTACTACTAATACACACCATATCACCAATCTGCACAATCTATCAAAACTACAAAGTTAGTAAATACTAGATAGTAGGAATTTATATACACCACTACCACAACTACTATAGAAAACTATTTGACTAGTCCTAACAGATCCCTTATATAATCGCCACCTACGTTACTAGTAGTATAGCACCCAAGGTAAATATAAACAAACGGTGAAGAGGAAATGACTACATACAACAACAGACACTTTGTAACGACCCCGGTAATAATATTACAGCACCATGTATTACAGTATCGTCACGTAAAGTTATTAATAAGTAAAAAAGTAGTGACGTAACACCCCATCTTCCCATAACCACCACATAGAATAATGAAAGTATTTTACTTAAGTGACTACTACTACTTAGTAGTCATAGTTGTATATATAGCTTGAGGAAAATGAAGCATACTCTACAGACTAGATTAGACTAGACTAGACTACTAACTAACTAACTATGATTGGATTATTTAGCATCATCATGAATTCCTACCAGATGTAGTTCAGACATATACACACATGTCATGTGTATAAAGTGAACTAAATACCACCACTAATAGTATATAATCTTTATTACTAGAGAATATATATATATATATATTCCGACGAGAGCTATCGAGGTATTAGTATACTGATATAAAGGATTGATAGTAATAATAGTAGTAAGTACATAAATTACACAGTTACTACATACACACAGTATTTATTCAGAACACCTTCCATGGCAATGAATTTATTGCTATCCTAGATCATGTACAGAGTCCACAATCGTTATCATATACATCAATAATCAAATCAGCACATAATATATAATCTCAAAGATAACAAATAGTAACGAGAGAGAAAGAGAGAAAATACAGTAAACGGTCTAGATCAACCTTGTAAAGTAAGAAGTGGAGGTGAGGTGTGGAGATAGCCAGCCAAAGCAAGCAAAGGTGTCAAGTGTCACCGTGACATTAACTTCTTCACATCCACATCCACCCAATTCTACCAGACAACCTAACACTCCCTTAAACTTCCCGGTTCGGTTCGATTCGATTCGATCGATCGCGCTCGATCTTTAATTACTACTTACTACCTTATTACAATCTAATCCAATATAATCCACTATGTACCTTCTCTTTCTTTTCACTACTACTCAGTTCCTTGTTTTATCCAAAACATACTAATTTACTAACTAGTAAGGTAGTAGTAGATGGTCTAGACCATTAGGGAAATTGAGTGGCTTTTATTCTATGTCTACTACGATCAGGAAGAAGAAGAATATGCATATTCAGTCACTGATTGATTGATTGATTGACCATACAAATTATATGCATAGAACTTAAGAAGATCGTGGCTATAGCACACTACTGCATTCTCATAGATCAATCAATCAAACAAGCGAGTGCATGAATAATCAATCCATTGAATAATAATCAGTCATGTCTAGACCCCGACAATGATGTGATGAGATGATAATTGATGATATCACCAGCTTTTATCCTTCCCGCACATGACATGAAAAAGCCCTTTCGTAGCATCAGATCGAAGCACAACCACAACCACAACCCACTAATATTTGCCAAGAACAAAATCCAGCTTGAAACCCAGGTTTGATTGATTGATTGATTGTTGATTGATCGATCGATTGGTTGTATGCATCACCGATGGGATCATCTCGTCAAATAGTTTCCATGTACACCACTAAGAACCCATGGTTTCTCCCATATGTAACAACTAAGGATATGCCGATAGCGGACCAAGCACACACACAAAGCAATGAGCATCAATAAAGTAGCACGTAGCACGAACAACAAAACAAAAACAAAAGAATTGACAGATAGCCGCCCCAGAACCATGCCACCCAAAACCGTCCCATTGCTCATAATCGCATGAAAAAGACAGAAAACCAATCCACACTCGCAACAAATCAGAGACCACCAAACAGCGGAAAAACACAGAATAAATCCCAGAAAACCCCCCAGGGTACTACCCGCGAACAGGCTAATAAAGATATAAAAAAAAGAAGGTATTTTGATCGACATCATATCATCGTAGGGGTAACAGAAGCAGCAGCAACAAGGAAAAAGCCACCCATGTCTCCTCTAAGAGCGTTTTCCCACCCGGGTATTCATCCACAGCGTATATGCATAGTCTATTCCCAAATTGCCGCCCTTCTGAGAAACAACAGAAAAATAAAATTCGTACGGAAGAAAATAAAGAGGGGGGTGTGAGAAATAAAGTTAAAGCGAGGGTAAAACCACAAGTCATGGTCGCTGAAGAATTCAGAGTCATATCTGAGGCTGTGCCGGAGCAGCAGCCGCTGCCCATGTCGACACGGGGTAATTGGCATGAGCTGCTGGTGCGGTAGCGCTCACGTAGTACGGATGTCGGTCTGCGCCCGGGTAATAAGGCGCATGCATCGGGTTCGACTCCCGGCGCGGGATGCCCGGGTCAAATGCAGACATGCCACGCTGTTCCAGTGGTTGATGCGGTCCATCAAGCGGGCCCAGGCTGAAGCTTCCTCCCCGTGAATATGTGGCCGGCGTGGCCGGATCGATGGGCGAGGTCGCGTCGGTCGCAACGCTGCGTGAGGATATTGACGAATTGCGATAGGCCGAAGGGCTGTGGTCCGACTGGGATCGGTTGCGATCGCTCAAGGAACTCGGAATGCCCGTGTTGAGTGCAGAAGGGATCGATGACGACAGCGCATTGTGACCCAGAGCATCGAAGCTTGTTCCATACTGAGTGGGTGTCCGGAATTGAGAGTAGTCGTCTGGCTTCTGCGGGATCTGGGTAGGTGCAGACGGTGCGGGGAGATACGGGTTGGAAGCTGGCTGCGCCGAAATCGACCCTGCCATCGAGTATCCCGGGATGGCCGCAGTCTGCGGAGCATGCGTAGCAGCATACGGCGCGGGGTGCATATAGAATTCGGGATGAGGGTTGGGGATCGCATACCCGGGCGGTGCTACCAACTGAGGTCGGTATCCGTAGATCGTATGGGGGTCGTTCGGGTTCTCTAAAGCTCCCGATTCCAGGTCATCGATGGGTGCCCGGAAGCTTTGCTTCTGCGTCAGCTCTGCACGAGGCCGAATGTACCGCAGCGAGTCGACCATCGATGGCGGGTTCAACAGCCCGCGCATCACGTCTTCCACGCTGTAATACGAAACCAGGTGGTGTGTCACCCCCGAAACCGTCACACTCATCGTCTTCTTCACGAGTCCCGAATCCTTGAAGCCATACGAGTCCACTAGCGAGCCCACCAACGCTCTCTCCACATCCGACTGGTGTGGTCGGTCTCCAGGATACTGACCGGGGGTCGAAGACGGCGAATAACCGCCGTTGCTGTCCTGTCGCGGATACGGCTCCCCAGGTCTCGTCGAAGGCACCGGGCGTCGATTGGCCTTCTTCATCGCTCGCTTCTTTTCGCCGGGAGGAAATGGCTTCTCCAGTTCGCGGTAGACGAGAAAGTTGCCCAGGATTCGACTGGGACTCCAGGTCACTCCATCCGTCCATCGCTTAATTCCCGACGAATTCTCCTCGTAGATGAACACACTGCCACTGCGGACCAGGTGACCACGTTCGCGATCGTGAGGCCGACGGGGCACATGGTGCAGCACTCCCGTCAGACAGGCCTCGAAAAGAATCAGCGCATCCTGTGTTGTCGCGACGTATCCCGTAAAGGTGGGCTCCAACACCGTAGCGGTGCCGTTGACCATTGTTTTGCGTTTGTTTGTAGGTTCGAACCTAGTTGAAAGGGGGGCAAAGAGGTAAAATCAATCAAGGTTAACACCACCGTTGATCAAGGTTTCCCAGTAACTCGGCTAGACGGATTGGCCAGGGTGACACTGGCGTTTCGACTCCAAGCAGAGGAAGAATAGCAGTGGATAGGATCAGAACAATCCCGCCTGACAGGCTGTCAGAATTTCTTTCTTTGTTATCGGCCGTTGCAAGAAAAGCCAGGACGATGTCCCGAGCTAAAAAATGAATGGGAAGGAGGGAGGGAGGGGGAAAAAGGGAGTGAATTGGGGGACTCCAGAAAAGCAGGGAGGGGGAGGCAAATAACCTTTGGGGGGGAAGACGAGGAGTGGGAACCTCTGGTGCGAAGGTGAGAGAATGACAAGTCGAGAGAGCTGACGGTGATGGTTGAACCGTAGAAGAGGGCCGATGGCGCGAGTTTAAAGCGCCCCCCTCCTTCTGAGTTTAAGGGCTACTACCAGACTTGGGCGAGCCGGATCGACAGCGAGCACGGGCCCGTCCTTTTTCCCAAATCCTCGCACAGGGAAAGGGTTGGATCTGGAGAGCAGCGTCTGGCCCTAGTGCAGCTGGGTCGACTGGAGCTCCGGTTCCACGGATAGCGATCGGATCGAGGTAGGTTGAGTCTCCAACCAAACCAGCTGCGGGAATTCCCAAGCTTTCTGCTTGCAAGGAGAAACCCGTTTTGACAGGGAGTTTAAATACCCTGGGCGCGGGAGTTTCTCTTCAACCCAAAAGGCTGTTGCTGATGCTGCTGCGCAAGACGATGCGGACTTTCGGGAATTGTTGAATGGGCAACAATCCACTGCGCGAGAAGCAATGGTGATGAGGGAAAGAGAGGGAGACCAGCTCAGCTTACGCCGTATGAGCTGTTCGGTGCCTGTTTCGGAGCAGGTATGTAAGCCGATTTATCCACTTTGGAGCTTCACGTAAAGCCACCCGGGCCATGCGAGAAACGAAGTGCGATGAATTTCCAAAGGCAAGTAGAGACCAGGAATGTTTCAAAGTGAATGGGGATGCTTGAAGGGAAGGAGTGTGGTGGACTCGGAAGACAAGAGGGGACAATAGTTGACCTTAAACATCCGTGGAACGAGACGGGGAAAGAGGCAGATAGAAATAAATCAGAAAAGGGAAAATCAGGTATATAATAAATTAGGAAACAAAAAAGAAAAAGGGAAGAGAAAAAAAAAATCAAAAAAAGTGAAGAGGGAAAATTAAAAAATAAAAAAGGAAAAAAAAAAAGAGGAAAAGGTAACGAAAAATAAAAAATTAGGAAAAATAAAATGAGAGCGAGAAAAATAAAAAAAAGGAATGCAATCCCATCCCAATGGAAATTATGGAATAGTTGTATGGGGGAAGAGCAGCAGTGCCAAAAAAAAAAAAAATAAAAAATCGAAAAAAATAACGCCAAAAAATCATCCCAATTCCCAGAACATTGGCAGGGTACCCATGTATGGTATTGTAAAAAGCATCGTGTTTTTTTACCCTTTCCTCTCACTCTCACACCTTTCCCCTTCCAAAAGATAGGGAAGGGAAAGAGTTGTCCGGGGAGAGAAAAAGTAGAGATAGAAAAAAATCATCGGAAACAACACGAAGAGACAATTAAACGTAAGGAATAATTATCTATCTTTTTCTTTTCCTTTTTGAAGCAAAAAATCAACAGGGAAGGTAGGTAAGAAAATAAGGAAAAGAAAAGAGGCGGCCCTCAATCCCCCCTCCCCCTTCCTGGTGATCAGGAAAACCAGGGAAGGGAAGGGAAAATTACCATGGCCAGTCCAACTAGACCAGAGCCGGGCATGGTGCGGGTTGCAGGGAACGCCAAACGGCCAGGCAGACGGAGGGAAGGACATGTTCAGCGAAGAGAAAAAAAAAAAAAAAAAACATCCTCCGTCATGAAGAGCGACCGGGCTGCAGGCGGGGCGACCCAGACTGGTAGGCCCGAGCAGTGCCAGAGGGAGAGAGGGAGAGGCAGAAATTGGGAAGGACGGATGGGGTGTGGGTGCAACTAGTGATCCCAAGGAGCAGGACAAGCCCGCCAGAAGCACCGCCGCCGGTGGATCTCTCCGGCCATGAGGCAGAGGCCATCGGCGGGCTCCATCTTTCATTCCTTTTCGCCAAAAGATGCGCACCACACCACACGCACCCATCTCTCCTGCTTCACACTCCTTTTGGGGGTGGGAGGCAACATCGAACAAAAGACGGCAAGAATGGGCTAGTGTGGGTATGGGGCGAAAAGAAAAAAAAAAAATAAAAATAAAAATAAGAAGAGGTATAGAAATAGAAACAAAATTAGAAGGTAAAGAACAAAACACGAAGAGGAAAATAAAATACAGAACGAACATCAACCAGATCCACTGGGGAATCCAGTCAATGCAAATTGCAGATCCAGTCAAATGGTAGTTTTAGTTAAGCATAAGAAAAGAGTATGACACAAGATAGGCTTGGGGAGGAACTAGGATCGAAGGAGGAACAGGGGGGAAATTGAGATAATCCAAACATCCACCACCAAACCATATTTGGTAGTCATGGATGTCTACAGATCAATCTCGCAGGAAAGAACAGCGATGTAGGCATAACACTGGAGAGTCATGATAGGAGAATGTATGTGTTGGCACAGGGTATGTGTGTGGTATTGTGGTATTGATCCAATCCTGGTTTCATACTTCCCCAAGGAGCGACAGACACGAGAGAGCAACTGACTTACCAGGAGTAGTACTGAAGAAAAGTGAGAATCCACGCTGGCGGGGATGATGAGAAGCAGGTACCCCGTTTCACTTTGCTGGGGTTGGTTTGGTTTTGAGTTGCTGGTAACTACTTAAAAGTAGGTCCCAACCTTAGCCGTGGCAGCGGAGTGACGTTGACTTTATCGGCCTTGTTGCACACACACTCGCTCACACAATCAACTCAACTTGGACTGCGTCTTCTTTCTTATCCCACTATGTCTGCTGCTGCTGCTGTTGTTGTCAACGTCGTTTTAACTTGCGGCTCTTTCACTTGCTTTCCCTTCAAGATAGACTGGTAAACTTTTGGGAAATGTAAGGATGACCAAGATAAGATCCTCCAAAAGACGCCAATGCAGGGAAAACAGTCAGTAGTGGGGAACAAGTCATGTAACAATCCGAGATTCAAGACGAGAAGAGTAGGGGGGTGGAAGATTTTAAGATTTAGGTAGAACAAGTGAAAGTCAAAATTGATGAAAGAGGGGTGGGTGGAAGGAGGTTAATGAGGGGACGGGAGAGTGGATCGGGGGGATCGCTAAGGGACCGCCAATTCGAGACGAAATTCAAGATGAGACAGACGCCCCAGGACGGTGTTGTGAATCGCAGGTACCTGAAGGATGGATAAACGGGGCATGGGATTGGAAATTATCGGGTTATTATCGGATGAGGGGGTTTGGGATTGGAGATGGGAATGACGGATAGACTCGGGTAAAGGACACACGCAGTGCAAGTCAGCCTTTGGGGGTGGGGTGGGAAAGGGGAGAGAGAAGGGAGGGAGGGATGATCAGATATAGACCATAGATATAGAGAGAAAGGATACGGGCTAATTAAGTATGCGCCAGTGTGATTTTAAGTACGATGGTAGGTAGGTAGGCAGGTAGGTAAAGTAGGTAACTAAGTTAGCTAGCTAAACTAGCTAGAAGGAGTAGTAGAAGGGGAGGCATGTCAGCCAAAGCCGGGGTAAATCGAACGAGCGTGCGCGAGCCGCGTAGGGGGAAACGAACAGCTAGCCATGGACATAACAAAAGCCATCCTATCCTGGCTAGTATATTCTTCCTACTCTCGAATCCTGGATTTATCACGGTAGATCGTATGGAGTCACTACCCACTAGTTAGTAAAGAAAGCAGTAGTTCACCAATAACCAGACATGTTTCCACGACTATCACCCCCGCCATAGTCCATGAGAAGGAACGAGAGGGAGAGGGGACCACGATTAACGAGGGATATTAATGCCATCATATATCTACGTAGTGCGGGAGGGATTTTCGGTTGGGAGAGGAAGGATTCAACGAGAGGGGGGTGGGGAGGCTGTGTCAAGTTAGGCGTGAGCCGCCTGGGCCTACTACTTACTAGTATTACCTACACCTCTTTTTGGGAGGGGGGAAGTGGGAAAGAAACACAGGAGGCGGGAAATAATTCGACGGGAGGACAGACGCCCCATGAGGGATCAGAGCTACTACTAACTAGCTAACTAAACCAACTAACTACATCTGAGCGTGTATTCCTGGCGGCTCAATCACTACCGTGCACGGTCGGGATGACCATCCCATGTCCATCCCACCGCCTCGATAACTGAAGGAGGGAGGGAGGGGGGCGGAGCGCTATGAAGTGTTGTTGTCAAGATATCCACCGGGTCATCATCCTATAGCGGAAGAGAGGAGAGAGGGGATGGAGGGTGGAAGGGGAGAGGCCGGGGGACTCACTCAGGAATGTTGTGAGCGATTGACTGATTAACTGACCGATTGATTGATTGATTGATTTCTCCATGATGGTCGATGGTTGAGGAATCTTATCGGGTCGTCTGCCATTCTCCGCATTCTTTTTCTGTTACTAGTAGAAGTCTACATAACAGCCAATTGGCAAGAACGTCATATGAAAACCACACCCCCAATCATGTTTCTCTATGTTATGTTTCTCATCCCTTCTTCTTGATTCCTCCTGATCATAAGAAGAAAAGTTGAACCATGAATCCAATCCCATGATACACTCCCACAACTCCATTCAACTGAACTGAACTGAACTGATTGAGGGGTTGGCTGCAGGGGTGGGGCAAAAGCGGTCACTTCAACCACGGCTCCGCCCCTGACGAAAGAGAGTAAAGTGTAAGTTGATTTGATTTGATGTGCACCGGTCAGTCATGGATCGGGGAGGCCCAGAAATCTAAAAAGAATCCACTTTTTGCCTTTTTCGGGCAGAGTCGATCGACCAGCTCTTTTGCTCAGTATCTTAAGTAGTAAGATATGTAACTGGGGGTGTTCTTAAAAATCAAGTGATATTTAACATGGTATACTACAACCACTACATACTATAACACATTTGAATATACTGACAACAGCAAGTAAAGAAATAAAAAGTAAAGAAAGAAAAATGAAATATGAAAATGGTATAGTGTGGACGGCCCTATTCCCCATCCGTCAATTCAGTAACAATACGGGGTTAGTTCAGTTCCTCTTCCACTTCCACTTGTTCCTCTCCTCCATGGTCTTGTTTCCCTCTCGCTGCATTATTAAATCATCACCCATTCTCACATCGTCATCGAGCAGCTGCCATTCAACTAAGTAGCTAGTCAACTTACCTAATATTTCCCTAGTGGGCGATCTTTAGTAAGCCCAGCCAGCAAACACCACACATACTTACATAACTACTTACATACACACACATAACATACTTCGTCCCCTCTCCAATACTACCCTATCTATCGTCATAACCCATCTAAATCAAACATCAGGTTCCTGAAACCCGTACGACAACCATAATCCCAGTGACATACCTGACTTAGCTCAGGAAGGAGGAAGGGGTGAGAAAGTAAAACCAGAAAAAGACAAAAAAAAGGACAACTCAATCAAACGGCCGCCTCCTCTTCCCAGGGCTCAGATCTCGAGGGTTGTGAGAGGACGGGTGATTATTGCATGGCGTCAAGGCGGCACCCGTTCGGATTGGTCCCAGAGAGTGAGAAGAGGGTCTGGAGAAGATTTGGGACGCCCCAGCAACTTGCATCCCATCCAATTGCTACACATCGAATCGGGTATGCGCTCGACCCGGCAACTGCTCCATCCCCCATCTTTCTGTCTCTGTCTCTTCTCCCTCCCTCTCTCTCTTTGGGCCTCCTCCGGCTGGATTTCGTGACCCTCCCAATCTGGCAAACGCGGTCCGAGCTCTGCGGCCCATATGCGCGCGCCTTTTCACAGTAGCTCCCCTCCCCTCTCTTATCCTCTTCCGACACTTCCCTCGGGCTCTGATCATCTAAGCCTTCGTGGCCATTATATCCAGCCTACACCACAACGCACACTCACAATAAAGCCCGGAAAAATGGGGTCATACTAATATCCTGCTCAAACCAAGCACTTACCAAATGATGGGAGGGCAGACACAAAGAAAAGGAGAGAATGGAAGAGCCGAGAGAAAGAGAAACATGGCGCACACACATGGATAGTAGTGAGGGAAAATGATCGATGACCTCGGTTGTCATCATCACCGCCCATCATCATACCCGCACTTTAGTCGTCAACGATCCATCCCGGCCGCACCGGTGACCTATTTCCAACCCAATAGAACCCTCTCAACAATAAGACCAAAGACCACTGGTTTCGTCAGCTTCCATAAGAAAAAAACATAACCAGTAGAGGACAGCGCAGCCCGTGGTGGCCTGTGACGAGTAGACGGAACCGCATGACGACCAGATGCCCAAGAAGAGGACTGTGCGCCGCGTCAACTTTCCTCTGTACCAGTCTGCCTGCTTCGCTCACATCTCGTCGGCTCCTCCGTCGCTCCCGCCACTGCGGCCGGAGATCAAGAAGATGGCCGTCTGCTCATTCACCCTGCTCCACGGTTCCGACTGACCACTGACGTTCATGTGCCCAGTTGATCGACTTTCTGGTAGGAGGAAAGAGAAAATAATCATAATTATGATGATAAATAAATCTATCAAAAAGAAAAGAAAAGACTTAACGTGCCTGTCAGCAAGGCAGCTTCGATGTCTAGATTCGAGGTCTTCCACTGGACCGGTCGACGGTTCCAGTCAGGCTCCGTCGGGATCCGTGCAGAAAGTCTTTGCTCCAATGTGCCAGCAGGGATCCCCCGGGGATGGTCGATCGGGTTGAAAGAAGGCAGAAGCGGAGCTTTCCTCCTCCTAAACAAAAGCCACCCCCCAAAGCCCCAAATGGTCCTAGTTCTCCATGACATATACCGTGCCTATGCCACGCACGCTCGAATACGAAGGGCGTGGAGACTGGGTGCAGGGAAGGGGGTGGGCAAATAATAACGATAATAATAATTATAATTATAATCAGAAAATAAAAAAGGAAATCTGAGCGGAACAATAGGGAAGAAAGCGTCCCACACGACGGCGATCATCTTAAGAGCCCTCAGGCCAAAGCAGCAGTAGGGGCCGGACTAGGTCGCTAGGAGAAAACCAATAAAGCCCTGCCCAACTCTAAAATGTTTAGAGTTGAATCGACTGGAATTGTCGGTAACTTTGTCAGGATTCAGGGGGGCACCGTTCCTAGAGCTTATATTGGACCGTCGCCAAAACTTTCGCGGGAGATCCCCAGCAGATCCAAAAGCCATAGGCGACTGCTGCTGCTGCTACTGTTGGGGCTGTGAATCTGAGCTATCTTCTTGTTGCCCGGCGAGTCCACCCACGGAAGCGCCGACAGACGCGCGAGCACGACTCTTGGACCTTTTTTTCCCGCTACTAGTATGGTTTTGCGGCTCATCTTTGGTCAACAGCAGGTGCAATTCTGGTAGGAGATCGTCCTTCCAGACCGGGTGGTAAGGGACTGGTCCGATAGTAAGGTCCCGACAAAGTGGGTGAGCAGTAGACGATCGCACCGGTGGGTGCTTGTCAAAACTCAATTCCACCTTGGAAGACCGGGGGGAATTAAAAAAAAAAAAAAAAAAAAAAAAAAAAAAAAAAAAAAAAAAAGCATCCATTAAGACTAGTCTTACAATAGGCTCTACCACAGTGGAAGATCACACTATTCCTCGATTACCAGGCGCAAATTGGATTTTGATCGTCAGGTAACCCTCGTTGACAGGCCGGTGGTGGTGACTTGCTTGCTGGCTTGCTGACATTTATTCCTCCGGAGGCGGTGGGCCAGCAATGACAGACCCAGTGCCAGGAAACTCTAAGCTGGTTTGCTCTCGAGCCTCAGGCACTATGTGTGTTGGTGGATATCGAATGATGGTGGATGATCAATTCGCATGTTGAGAGATGAAAGGTTGAGAGTAAAGAGGAATCTTGGAGAAGTGACCTCCGTTTGCATGGCCAATCCATCCCGTAACAGGAGCTATTAGGAAGCTGCGACAGACTTGGCTTCATACAAGCCGTGCCTGCCTGCCTGCCTGACAGGATTTTGGTCATGACCAGGAAGCCCTTACTATACCCAGAAACTCAAATGGTTACCGAGAGAGGACCCATACATATAGTATTGCATGCAGCTGCAAGAGCCACCGGGGGAAAAGATCAAACTCTTGGGTGCCTGGTGCATACATGGGCCGATGGTCAAGTGAGGATGCACCTCATGATGTACTACTACTACGACACGGTGACTGGTAACAAAAGTCTACTTGATCCAGGTAACTCCGATGAAGGTCCTGTTCAGCCAAGTTGATGATCGGCGACCCAAAGCAGGAGGCAACCCTAGAGAAGAATGAAAGGTTCACTTGCTGCACTCCAGACAGGCTCTCTCAAGCTATATGCTATGCTATGTTGGTAGTCTAGGATCCTGCGCATTCATCAGCTAACTCTACAGTAGTGTCCAATCCAAGGTGCCCCAGCATGGAACTAGGAGGCATATAGCTCGAATCCATACCTACAGCTTCCAGTTAGTTGCCATCATCCCTTACTGATGGGTAACGAAGCCTCGTATTCCGAACCAGCGCCCCGGGACGGGTTCGGTTAGAGAGAGCGAAGAAAAAGAGAAAGGTAATACTCCAGCGAGAGCGGATAGTAGTTGATTAAACCCCATAGAATGACACATCTTTAATATCGAGTTCGTTAGTCACTGGATATTCAAGCGATCATGTCTTGGAATGATATTCATAAGTAGGTAATAGTAATAATTGCATCCTAACAGGCAAAGGGAGAATGGCATTGATTGCGTGGCAGATGATTCGACATACGAAGCAGGCATGTTTCTCTCTCTCCTACCTACGTGGACGTACTACTTCGTATCCAAGGCGAGTGGGAGGAACGAAACCGACCCGACCGGTCTGGGTCCAGTCCCAGGATCCAGTCAGTGTCCGTGCCATTTTTCTGGGCTGGCAGTGCCTACTTTTTCCCCACCGAATCTGAGTCACTGGACTCCCTAGTTCTCCGTATTCCGCAATCCTGAAAGTCCCCACGTTCTTGAGGACTAGTACTAGTATAGGAAGAATTGTGGCCCTTGTTGCATGTCCGCTATGTATGGCTAGATGGAGCGAGAGCGAGGCCAAAGAGAGGAGCCAACAGAGGGGATTTGCACAAATAAAAACCGAAGAGACAGCGCGCTAAGTGATTTGCCCGGCTCCAGATGCATCCAGTAGCGCCACGGACGGTGAACCGTAGACTTGGGCCAGGAAATGAACGCGACCAGAGAGTGTGGTTTGGGTCATGGCTAGCTCAGCTAGTTTGTTAGGTTAGGTTAGTTAGTTAGTTAGGTCGGTCGGTGGAAGGTCTTGCTCCGGTCCGGGAAGTTGGGTTTTCCCCATTTAGGTAACGCGGGCAGGCACCATGTGTGGTGATTGGAAGAAATGGGGTTGTCGGAGGAGAGAAGGAGGAGAAGGGGGGAAAATGCTGCTAGATTACTAGTATCTCGTAGGTTGTTGTCTGAGCGGATCGTCCTAGCAGATAATAGTAGTAAATAGTAGATGGTATCAAAAGTGGTACCAAACGGGGAATGACTATCGACCCAGTCAACTACTGTTACTAATGAGTATGTACGATGTACTTGATTAATTATTCCTCCATCATAAATATTACAGTTATCAGGTGCTTCAAATCCCCCGAGAGAGAGAGAGAGAGAGAGAGAGAGAGAGAGAGGTTTGGAACTGTACTAGACTAGCAGCCAAAAGGGAAGCGTCAACAGAAACAGTGGACGCGGCAGGTGGCGCTATCCTTGACAGAAGAAGAAATGCCGCACAATGACAGGGTCGTCTGGATCTAACAGGCGATCATCGCCCCCCCTCCCCAAGAATGTCGAACCAAACAGGCCAGAATGGGGGGGCGACGTAAGTAAAGAAGCAGCAGACACGAGTTCGGTCGCTGTTACCAAACCCCCACCACTAGTATCAACTAGTACTAGCCGGTACTGTATAGTAGATCATCGTAATTAAAATGAAGGTGTGGTTCCGTTCCAAACCATAGACTGGATGGAGTGCAGTAAGTAGTAGTCCACTGGGATAGTACTAGCATAATAGTACTGCGTAGAGAGCAGACCACAATTGCACTACTAATCTATTTACATGGGGGATTCTGGTTGATCCAAGTACCATTTAACGCTATGACGGAGGGGATGTCAGTGACAAAAAAAGAGAATTCAGAGTTGAGAATGGGGGATAAGTATACAGTAGAAATCATATCTACTGTAGTTCATAATCAAACAAATTCAATAACTATCTAACCTAAACTCAGCCAGTTTCTAAATCTCTTTCACGCGTGTGAAGAAAACATGGAGAGATGTCAGTGGCATTACCCATCCGGGAATCAGGATTCGGAATCCCATGCAGGGCACAGGATACGGTGCCTTCTTTCCCCCTCTGCACGCTTAACGCAGGTGGCCTATTCGAGTAATGGGAGGGGAGTTCCTGCTATGTGTCCCTCCGTATTTCCCCTGCACCGGATTATACATTAAGTAGGTAGTCAGTGGTCAGTAGTCAGAAGAGATAGGGCATCCCGTGTGTGCCAACATTTCAACAATCCCCAACGCACTTGGTGCAGGAGTGACCGCAATTCCACCTCCATTCATTTCCGCATACGCCACTACTACGGGGCGTTCTCATCCCTTTCCTCCTCCTACTACTTACTAGTTACTACGCAGTTATACATATGCAAAAGAAAGAAGGGGGGAAAAGGGAACTAAGCGCCCACTTTTGCCCGTCCCTCCCGGGCGGCGGCGGCGGCGACGACGACGATGGCATGTTGGCCACGCACGGTGCGCATTGCCAGAAGCCTGAGGTCTGTCTGAAATGGATAACCAGCAGCTGAACTGATCTGATGATAGGTTCCCAGATATGTTATCCTGCATAAGCTAGGATGCACTGTGCCACGCCTCGAGCTCGTGTAGAAATATGATTTGGTCAATGGTGGCAATCCCCAAAAAGGGCGCCAATCGGCCGGGGAAAAGGACCGCATTCAAAGGATTCTCATTGGATGAAGGAAAAGGGAGGGCGTGAATTTCCAGTACTACGGGGTGCTACAGAGCCTGAGGATACTTCGAATCTCCCCAAACAAGAACTTGTCATGTGGCTCATCATCATCATCATCATGCAGTCGACTACTATCGTGACGGGATCGTTTTCCAGAGTGTAGGTCTTGTCATCAATATATGCCCATCTTTGCGGTTTAAACTATCTAGGTAGGTAGATACATACATACTTCGACCCATTAATTCCTTGCGATCCCCTCTACCTGGATACTGGGAACACCTACATATTTTCTCCTCCAGTCTCCTTCTTTCCCCCCTCTCTCAAAGTGCCTGTACCTACGTCGTACATCAATGAACTACTAGTTGCACACATGGCCTGGTACCCACCCGACTTGCTACTTTTACTGCTAGGCCACACTACTCCATCTAGCACGCTGGCTTGGCAATCATCCGAAAATCGGGGGAAGGGCATTCATCGGGTTTACGAGGTTTGGACTTAGCTGCCTTCCACCTCCGGGATAGTAAGTCTGGAGACGCTCCAGCAAGAGTGGGAAATGATAACCAGAGGCCCTTTTCTGCTGGTCTGGCGAATAAGAATGGGGTCCATGATAATCAGTTTCGGAATGACTTCCTCTAGGCTCTAGCGAAATCTCCAATTACGGCGATCGGTCGGGCGCTCCCAGGACATGGGACCTAAATCCAACGAGGGATCCACCGATGGCAATAGTTCCGGATAGCGCTTGTCCGCGCTGTTTACTTACGTCTTTCCTACGATCATCCACCCTCCACTCATTAAAACGGGTCACGACCCAAACCATTCAATTCTGCGTGGATGGTTCGATGCGGAGAAAAACCAGTTCTGTCAGTCACCCTTTGACCATGCTGCACTAATACACTAAACTGGCTGGGGGTATTTATTCATTCTTGAAGGTCGACAACACTACCACGTCGTAGTTAGCCGCTATCTCCGGCACAGCTTTAGGTAATAAACGCAGGATGGAGATCCCACGGGATACTGTCTACCGGGATACTGACTGGGCGGTACGCTTTGGCAAAGCCATCAACCGCTCACTAGTCTTACTTAGCTCTTGACCCCTACCAGCCATTCCGATCGGGGATGCTCTCTTTGGCACAGCGGGACTGGCGCGCGCACACACACACCCACACACACACAATGCAACGCGCTTCGTCATGCGATCGATCCTGTAGGCTGTAGTGGACTGACTCGACCTCATCCACCGGGACAATGATCCCAGCAATAGAATCAGGGATAGGAGGATCAGGACCAGGACACCGTCCGTGCCCTAGAGACGAGGCAACCAAAAGGCGAGGATACAGTAGCATAATAATACATGACACAGTAAGTAGCAGGTACAGTAGACCCGAACCCCCACACCCCATCCCTTGACTGTGCACTGCTCTTTGAGGATCAGCCGGAATAATATCATCAGCATACCTCTTAGAGGGAGGAGGAATGACTGGTCATAGGGTTGGCGACGTGACCTGTCGTGGTTTTCTTTTTTTTGCTACTTTATTTTCTTTTCTCGTCGCTTTCTTTCTGGCCGTCCTGCCGTCTTAGTTGGCCCTGCAGGATGAGGGCGACGCTAGACTAGGGCACCTGCTGGTGTCAGAAGTGTGTCCTCTGTTTCACAACCTCAGGGAAAGGGTTAATCAGGAGCTTGCTTGATGCACACCCAGATGAGGATGGTAACACACGCTTGAGGCTGTCTTGATTGGAAAAGCCCAGTGTCTGTGGGCACCAACCTGGAATGGGGGCTTTTGAGTTACGGCTGATGGATCATGGATGTCGATCAGCCATGGCCATCTTCTTGAGAGTCTCCATCGCCCGCCATTTCCTCGCCATTTCCCTTCTCCTCATCATCTCGGGTCCGACCCTGCCATGTTCCCCTAAATAACTCCGTGGTAATTTTAAAACTACGTAGTCATCATCCCATCCATGAACCTACTAGTATCAAATTGGTCTGTTCAGAGCTCGGCAATAATCCAACAATCATACTATTCCTTGGCATCAATCCATGCAGTGGCCCCCCTTCGGTAGATGTTAGATTAATTTTAATTTAGTCATGTCGACCATTTTTCCAAACCATGTGGCTCATCCTCACAATTGACCGCAAAATGGCTAGGGGT